TTGACTGTATCTGCATACCAATTTAGTCTTAGTTCAGGGCATGAGTAGGCTGCACTGGGAGGTCGGGTTACTCCATAGTACATTCTTTTTAGTAATTCAAAAGAATGCCAAAGCAAACACAGTTTAAAAAAAAATAAATAAAAAAAAAAACTAAAAAAGTAAATGGTGTAGTTTGTTGCACTCCATATGGTTAGCTGTCTCAAAGGTCATAAAACGGGGGTCCTTTGGTGGGACAGCTGGGTTTATGTAACATATGCAGATTGTTTTTTTGACTGTAAGCCAGATCTACCTAATGTTTCCATTTTGTTCCTGTCATGAAGAGAGGTGCTTAAGGTGACTTCAGGGTGCAGTTCTGTGATTTCATTTATGTTTGTATTAAAGAGCCTTTTAAGAGTATTTAAGATTAGAAACCAGCCTAAATAAAATTCAAGTGAAAAAATGCAAAGTTCACTTATTTTATCAAGAGGCTGAGCTTGCAGCTAGGCACAGCCCCAAGTCCACACCATCAGACAAGCAGCAGCACCTCACGGCTATTTATGAGCTGCAGTTACTGATGATTATGCTGTGAGGTGAACCAACAGAAGCCAGGCCATCTACAGTGCTCCTGTAGTCTTCCAGAGCCGTGAGTGTTTCTATCTGTACGTACGTATACATCTATAGACCTAAGTGTGTGCATAGAGCAAAGGAGAGTTGCACACACCCAGGAACTCTCTATGCCACAACTGCTGCAAGTTCAGAGGAGGAGTGTATTTTGCTGGTTTCTTGCTGCCCGCTGCAAGGGTGGGAGGCAGCACCTGGCTGCTCTGGCAGATTGGGTGCTGGTGGGCTGCTCCCTGCCTGCCACACCGCCAGTAAATTCCCCTTTGGCTGGTCATGCCCCACACTGACCACCCCACCCCCAAGAAAACAGTCTAGTGCTTTTCCCCGTGTCGAGGTTGGCAGCACTCCTGGGCTGAACACAAGTGCCTCTCTCTGCCCAGAGAGAGCAGCCACCAAAGGGAGCTGGAGCTATAAGAAGTGGCTTTCCCTCCTTAGAGTCCTGGAGGGACCATATAAGTAAAGAGCTTTTTCCAACAAGGTAAATGGAGCTTTCTGTAACAAAAATAACCTACGTAAAATAAAAATTAAGTTGGCAAGCAGTATAAAGACTTAAGCTTAATAAATGCAATATTTGGTAGTGTATATTTGTTGTTGGGTTTGTAAAGAAAACCAGACTGCAAAGCTGGTGAGAGCTACCATCTAAGCACCTAAAAGAGGAATGTCTTGAAATGCTTAGTAATCATAAGGCAGCAGTCATCCTTCCTACGGTGTCCTCCCTGGAGTGTATTCATCTCATACCCATCAATGAAAACTTGAACAACTGACTGACAATTTAAGAAGATGAGCCATTTGTTAGTCTACTTTGGTCTACGGGTAAAGGTGGTGTAGAAGAGATTAAGCTCTTGGGGAACCCAAATAGTTTCACCAAAAATATTTCACACCTTTCACTAGTTACTCGTAGTGCTTTCTGTGCTAATATCTATTATAAATGCAAGCACTTCATCATCCTTCCTCTACACCCTTTTTTAGCTAGACAGCACATTAAAGACCAACTCTGTTTTTAATTAAGTTTTTGTATATTTTATTCATTTTGTTCTTATCTAAATGAAGCTAAAGAAATATATAAACTATGAACAGTCAGTAAGTACAGAGTATATATTACCAGACTTCAAATATAAAAGTCCTCTGTGTAATAAGTTGTTTAATTACTTAGATACGTGAGTAGAGACAGAGATTTCAGTGTAAAGAACTAGCAAGTCTGGTGTAAAAGCTCCATTTAATTACAGAGCAGCACATTTGAATTGTTGCCAGCTAATGAAAACCATTCTTCCTTTAGAGAAGGAATTAAAAGTACAAATGTAAAATAGATTTAATGCTTTAAATAATCTTTTTGTGATCTAGAATGTTGGGTAAGCTAGTGTACCTGTTCTCTCTTTGTGTCATATTCTTCCTACATTTTAAATTACTCTGCTGTAATTGGTAAGCAAAACTGAGGAGGAGATACCTTTTTCAGATACAACTTTTTTTCTTGTGCACCAGATGTTTGACACAATGAAGTCAAATGAATATAAGAATGTCCAGCCCAGCAGCACTTGCTGTCTCATGCAGTATTATTAAAATGAACAGTTCTCAGTTTTTCTTTAATTTCTTTACTCTTAAAATAGGAAGATGTGACTACTGTCTGAAAATTAAGCTGCATTTCTAGGTGTGGATACCCCAAGCTATATGGCCATTAATATTTTAAAATTTAAAGAAAGCAGTTTGTGTTCATGTAGCTGTGCTCTTTCATCGTTTTCAAGTTTTAAAATCCTGCATAATACCAGCCTTTTGTCTAAAGAACATTGCTTTTGTGTTTGCTAGTTGGACTTACTCACCTTCTATTACCTATTGAAGTAAGTGGGTTTACCTTTGCTTAAAATTGCTCTCTTCCCTAAAAGACTATTCTTGATTATTTCTTTTGGTTTACTATATTGCTTGTAGACTCTCAAAAGCACCTCACTGTTCCTTCTAGGAACCACTGACCATCCCTTAGCCTTACCCGTAAGTGATGGTGAGAATGTGTTTCCCTGTAAAGCATGGGTTTAGCTGTGCTGGCAGGTGCTTCAGAAGACCTGTGTTTGGGCTGCTCGTGTGAGCAGAGTTCTGCCCATGGTAAAATCCCATTTTGATTCAGGGACTCCCTCTGGAAGGGAGGGTGGTTGCTGCCGCTGGGACCCAGTTAGAAACATGGAATGTTCTTTGTTGTCTGCTTCATCCTTATAAGTTTTTTCTTTGTCATGCTTCATGAGCTGACCCTTCCGAATTCCTCCAACTCGCAGAACTCTTGTTACAATAACAATTAGGTTTCCATATCAAAATCCAGCTCTTCTTCACTGCAACAGTTTGCCTATGTAGTCCTGTAGAATATGGGAATGTTTGTTTGACATTTGAGGCAGCACAAACAAAGCATATGAATATTAAGGAAAGAATGAGCAGAAGAAGCCAAGACATTTTACTGGAACAAAAAAAAAATAAAATGGCAGATCTCATGCAGGCCTTGCTGTTTTAGCAAAGGAGGGAAGGATTGACAAGATTAAAAGTATTGGTTTTAGAGACATAGAAAATAGCCTTCATGTGTCCCTACTTAAGTGGCTTCCTTCAGGAGTGAATCAATTAGTTTGCTCTTAAAATTCTCCAGAGATACAGTTTTTGTAACTTGTATGCCCTATTGCACTGCCTCACTATCCTTGCCATGAAAAAGGTTTTTTTACTAATGTCTAACTGGTAGCTCCTGCTTCCATGCAAGCCCATTCATCTTGCCATGTCTGGACCCCAGTGTATTCTGAGGCTATTAGAGTCATTTCCATCACATTCTCTCCAGTAAGTAACACATGAGACTTGCTGGATCATAGCACTGAGCTTCCAGAAAACCTAATTACAGAAGCCAGTACTTCATTAGCGTAACATTCATAGAATCAAAGAATCATAGAATCATTTCAGTTGGAAAAGACCTGTAAAATCAAGTCCAGCCATTAACCTAGCGCTACCAAGTCCACCACTAAACCACGTCCCTAAGCACCTCATGTATTCATCTTTTAAATACCTCCAGGGATGGTGACTCCACCACTGCACTGGGCAGCCTGTTCCAGTGCTCAATAACCTGCTTGGTGAAGAAATATTTCATAATATCCAACCTAATATGAAAACTGGTGCAACTTGAGGCCCTCTTGTCCTGTCACTTATTATGGGAGAAGAGACTGACCACCAACCTCACTACAGTCTCCTTTCAGGTGGTCATAGAAGGTGATAAGGTCTCCCCTGAGCCTCCTTTTCTCCAGGCTAAACGACCCCAGTTCCCTGAGCCACTCCTTACATTTGTCCTCTAGACCCTTTACCAACTTCATTGTCCTTCTTTAGACATGCTCCAGAAACATAATGTTCTTCTTGTAGTCAGGGCCCAAAACTGAACACAGTACTCAAGGTGCAGCCTAATATCTCCACTTCTACAGAAAGTAGTAGCTGTTAGAGGGGTACGGTGATGCTACAGGTCAGTACTTGCAGCTTCTTCTGTTTTCTTTTCACAGCTGGCTTTCAGTTACATCCCTGTCTTGGAGAAGAAAATCCTTAGGCTGCTTTGGAAGCCTGTTGCCATTTGGTAGAGAACATCAAAATGATTGCCTGAGAATTTGCTTTACACCTTGTTCAAATACATTAATCTCCACTAGTAGAGTAATCTATTGAGGGAGGAGGCAAAGAAGCCATTCAATATTTTTGTTAGTAACTCTGATACTTTATCAACATAAAGGTGTTTTATTTCGGTTTACCAAAACAAAAGTTGTCAGGTGAAGAAAAATATACTGAAATCTTCCAGTCCCCAAGCATTATAGGAAGGTGAGTCCAGTTTAACAAACAGGTAACAGGACAAGAAAGGCAATGAACGCATTCAGTCCTGAGGTGTCTTGTGGTGATGCCAACAATGCTTTAACCTTAGATGGATTGAGGTTGGTAAATATCTGCTTAGATTTGAAAATAATAAACCACAACTGAGATAGAATGTAGTGTGCCACATAAGAGATTAGTTCAGCTCGGCTGCGTGCTGGATGTATATTTCACATGCATCAGGCAAAATTTCCAAAGCTAGGCAAGACTATGGGTTTCTCCACTTGTAGTTTATGCTTATAATTGGTATGATCTACTTTGCATTTGCAGGTAACTATTGCCAGTTAAGGTCCTCAGTGACTACATGCAATGCTAAGTGCCATGTATGAACTAGCTATATTTAAACATGCATGTTTAACTTCAAACATCTATATTTTTTCATCTCTTGTTAGAAGCAAATCCATTATTAAGGAGACAGATTGAGTTATTTGTATCAGTAATGCAGTAGGGCTGTGCTTTAAATCTTTTTAAAAAAAAAAAAAAGTTTGGATCTGATCTCATTAATCAGCACCCACTATGTTGTTTGTTGGGTTTTTTTACAGAACATAGGAAACTTGGCAATCTGACTGTGACAGTGAAAAAAACCGTCCCCTCTCCAGAAGCAATACAGATCCTCTACCAACGCATGAGATATGAATATGAGTTTTATTACTACGTCAAAGAACAGTTCCACCTGCTAAAGCGCAAGTTTGGACTGAAGTCTCATGTCAGGAAACCACGTCCCAGACCCGAGTTCTTCATTCCTTCCCCCCTGGAAACAGAGGAACCGATAGACGACGAGGAAGAAGATGATGAAAAGTGGCTAGAGGATATCTATAGAAGGTGATGGATGGAAGAGCTGTCCTTTCTCTTCTGGTGACCCCTCCAGCTTTCTTAAGATTTTTTTAATTATTATTAAAAGTAATTCCTTAAGGAACTGAATTAATGCGCAGCAGCATTTGAAACAGAAGAGACCATTCCCACATGCTGGGGCCATCAGGAGATACCTGGTTTTGCAGGTTTGATTCATTATGCAGTGTTGGCTCTACAGCATCCTCGCTATAGCATAGTTCAAGAGAGAGCTATCTACTGTCTGTCACAAAATAACTTTTGGAGTACACAGTAGTCCTCTGGGAACCTGCAAAGCATAAAAGAATAGATTAGACGGTCTTGAAAAGTGCATTTTACAGATTTTCATCTCTCTCTTTCTCCAGAAACAAGTCTTCATTGCGTAACACTGCGGCATTACCTATGGGCAATGTGAACTACGGGCAGTGAGCATTTTGGGAAGAGTGCCTCTTGCTGCCCAGAGCACACGGGTATCCCAGTGGTACGGCCAGAGCCAGTGCCGTGTCTGTGCACGTCCAAGGATCACGGGCTCAGAAGGGGGCTAGGCAATGGCTTCTGAATTACCCTGTGCCGGAGGAGGGGGCACTAACCTGGACAATAAGGCAGGTTACACAAACAGATGTTTTTGGTAAACCTTTCTAGTTCACAGAGTGGAAAAATTTACCAGGTCACTGAATGGCAAGAACAGATGAAAAGTGCAAGGCAGGGTTACCTAAACAGTAGAGTTTTGTCTCTGCAGTTGAGCACCTTTCTATTAGACTCAAGGAAAAGGTGCAGCATACAGTTTTTATGTTCAGGAAAAGTATTTTTAGATTTTTATTCTTCTTATGGATCACAAACTCAAAGAGATACAGAAAAAGTCACTCATCAGAAAACTTGGGTGATCTGGAGGCCCTATTAGGCATAACCAGTATTTCTGCAATTGCAGAATTTAGTTGTTCACATCTGAACTGAACGCAGCTGCCCCGCCAGTGCCAACACCAGACACCTGCTTTTAAGAAGTAAACTGAACGACACGGACCTACACAAATTCTCTAGCTGAAATGTTTCAGAATGACAGAGAAAAGAAAAGAAGTTATGCTCTGTGAAACCAAAGCTAATCCAATGATATGTTGTTACGAGAGTCACTGTGAAAATTGGCCCTGTTCATCACTGCACGTGGTACCAGCAAGCAGGTAGAACAGGGATGGGTGTGGGCTGGGAGGGGAAAGGAGAGCAGGTCCAACATGTGACATGCTCTTCAGGACCTTCAAGGTGAGTGTCCCTGGAGTTCCCTGTGATGTATAGGCATGGTGGCTTATTCACAGCCTGCCAAAACTGGTGTGCAGAAGTGACAGACCTGCAGGCTGCCGTGGGCAGAGCTATTAGGCCATCTGCTCCATAGCCAAATAGGGGTATTTCAAGTCCTTTCTCAAACATCTACCAGGCAATTCTTACTTCCTATTCTGCAATTGCCTCAGCAGCATATCTGCCATCTGCAAGGTCATACTTTGGTTTGCAATAACAAGCAAAAGTTATTTTGTGATGGACGAGGCATATAAACTCAGTCTAAGCTTGAGTGTGCTTTCCAAGGGTTTCCTCTTCCACGAGCCTGCTGAGAGCTAGTAGACATTATGGCCCATCTTCATCACCCATCAGTCTTTACTTTACCTACACACAGAGAACGAAAATAAAGAAGTGTAATTGTGTTAAGACAAGATGTTAACTTACATAAAATATTACGTAGGAGATTCTGTTCTCATTATTAACATCCCAGGTGGGTAGTAGCAGTGCACTACCATGGGGAAGCACATCAGAGAAAGCTGAAAATGGCACAGATAACAACTAACATATTAGCTAAAATATGAATCTGCTGCATTGTATATTTTAAGTGGTTTCTATGAAATTACATTGAAAGAGTAATGATTAGTTTACACACTGTGGAGTTGTTATATTTTGGAAAGAAAACTAATAATCGCACCTTTCTGAAATTCTGTTTGAATTCTTTTTACCAACATTGTAACAGAATAATTGGTCACTTAACGCATTCATCCTTCCTGCAAGTTCAGTGATGCTTACCATAAAGTCTATTTTTATCTGTTTATTTAACAGTATCTTCAGCCATCACTACTTATAACCTAGATACAAAACCTGTTTAATGATTTACTCGCTAGGTTTTAATGTTGTTGTATTTTCTGTAACAACCAACCTGGCCTCTCCTCTTTGAATGGTACTTCATAAATTTATCTGGCATACAGCATCTAAGATTCCTGGCCTATTTGTCTATCATGAAATAGGTTTTACTTAATTGTTAAAAGGTACGTCTTAAGCTGGTTAATCTTTCACTTATTTATTGAAACTTTTCAGCACATTCCAAATTCTGAGTTGCTCAGGAAGAAGTTGATTTAAATGATTATATTTTGGTCTGATTAATATTTCTTATTCAAAAAAAAAAATTAAAATCATTGTTTTAAGCCTTTAGCCTATGACAGCTTTGTAGGAAGTGCCATGCATGTAATAGTAAATCGTTGTGGGGGGGAAAAGGTGGATGCTTGACATTTATGAAAATCAGAAAACATACGTGTACATTAGTTTAGCTATAAATGAAAGCAACATATGTTTTGGGATGAAAAATTCTTTAAGTTATTCACTAGCATCTCCTGAAAGACAAAGAAGCCATAAGACCATTTATTTTTCAGTCCAATGATGTTTAAAAATAAAACTTGTACCTTTCTTCCTAGTGCCATATTCCACTTGCTTACACTAGTTTCCTTGCCTGGGTACAGCAGCTATGGGTCAGACATTGGAGCTGCACCTAGCAGAGCAGGACTGGATATGTCACACTCTACCATCTGAAAGTTCTGCTTCAGCAGTGAGATTGGGGTTCCTGGGTTATCCTGTGTCCTGAACTGTCTGGAGGTGTGAGAGTGGAGGCAGAATTATTTCACTGGCCTGAGATGTGCAGTAGGCACCCTGAAGTACATGGTCTCATGTGCTTTGTGGCTGCTAAGTAGGAAGTTTTATCCAGGAGAGAAAGAGGTAGGTCCCCATACGCTGCATTCTACTAGATGCGGGATCTGATGGCTGGGTGTAAAGGCTCCAACAGTTCAGAGTGATGTAATGGAAGTGAAACATCAGTGCTTTCATAGTAAAGAGAGAATCAACTGTTGTTAAAATTCAGAATTCTGGAAAAAATAAATTTTTGTCTTAAATTTCAAGTGACAGTGAGAAATGGTGTGGTTTTGTTGTTCCCATTTAATTTACTTCTTTTCCACATAAGTTGTGCTCATGATACAAATGTTCTCTACTTATATGGAGAGAAGTAGCTCAGCTGCTGAACTGAGGGAATGTGAAACTGATGGTGGATTTGAAACATTTCAATTTCTTAGCAATTCTTTATCATTGGACCTTTGATGAGTTGTTTGAATGTTATAAAATAGAATGGTACATAGTATCATAAAGACACAAACCTTAAAACCTGTGGATTTTCTAACATAAACACATGGATTTCCTTTTCTGAGTGCATGAAGGAAGAATCCAAGTCAGGATTTGTATTTAACTGATTGTGGCTGAAAAGGTAAGTTAATAACAGTGCTGTCAGGCAGGCGTGGTCAGAGTGAGCTTTGTGCAAACGTGTACTGTCCTTCTCTTGCTTTCTTTGGATGTGACGGGCAAAAAGGCTGACAGCAAAGAATTCTGCTACACTGCAGGGGAACTGGTGCTGTGAAAAGATGAGATTATCAGGAATACCTGTAGTGCTGGGCAGGTTTAAGAAGAATGATCTAAACACTAGGATGATACGAAGTGGCCAGCAGAAGTGTTACACAAACTGCTCACCCTCTCTATGGCTTTGGCTCATCTGGAAAACCTGAGACCGTGCTTCAAAATCAAATGCTGCTTCAGACCTGTGATTTGTATTAAATTAGCTCTTTTTTTTTCTTTTTCTTTTTTCATGTAGTTCCAAATTGCCAGTCTACTTCAGAACCTGGCAGAGTGTAAGTACACAGCCTGTACTATTGTATCTGATGTGCAGGAGCGGATCTGCGATGGATTTGATCCTTCAGTAAACCTCTCTCCAGGCTGAGTGCAAGTAACCAGCCAAGGGAAAGAAATCCTTCTTGGCACAGTGGTGCTGCTACTAATGAGTAGAGTAATAGTTACTGTGCCACAAGGGAAAGTATTCGTGCAGTTTTCGGTTTTTCCAGGCCAGGATGACATGGGAGACTTGAGATAACCTCAGGACCCCCAAGAGCATTGTCAGGTAGTGTCTCCCAGCTTTGAACTCAGCCAGTTGCATCTCTCAGTTTTAAACTCATGATCATTTCCAAGTTTGGGTGCAGGAAAGAAACAGGCAGATACAGCCCAGGGCAGAGAGAAGAGCAACAGTCGAGGGTGTGGCTTCTCATAGCACATGAGAGTTTTTCTTCTAGAAGCCTCTGATCTAGGTTGTGTGGTGGTGAGCTCAGGGAGGGGAAATCAGCTATAGTCATTAGTCTCTGATTCCCCAGAGAAGGCAAGATTCCCAAGGTCATGCTGGAGAGATGTGCTAGGAGAAGTAGTAATGGGGCATCTATGCATCAATGAAGAGCAGTGAGCCTTCCCCATTTTGACATACTCCATTTGTTTGTATTTGCACAAACCATAGGCCATGTTTGGTGTATTTCCCAAGGTCAGTCTGTGTAAGGTAGTTCTTCACTAACCATATTGTTAGAGCATCTTGGAAAATTATTAATATCTTTATCCTTTTGATCCACAGTGGAGGTAAAGAAGTGCTGTTATCTCCATTTCATATATTGGGAATGGATACAGCAAATGGGTGATACTCCCAATGTCACACACAAAGGTTGTGAAGAAACCCTGATTACAATTTAGCCAAATGTCTTAATGTCTTGAACTTCCTCTCCTGCTCTAAGATTTTAGAAGGCAAAATGAGTACCATGGAAAATTTTAGTTTTGTGATCTTCCCTTATCTTTTCCTTAGAACTCTGTAAATTTTTCAGGTAACTGCCTAAATATGAA